AGAAGGCCAGCGAGCCCCTCCCTTCCCTCCCCCCCAAACAGGTACCTCGTGGCCGGCGTGCTTTGCCAGGGTTTGAAGGAACTCAGCCGAGGAGGGGTGTGTGGTGGGGGAGCGAAAGTCGAAGAAGACTTTATTGCCTGCAACGAGCTCGTGTGCACGTGTGGACTTATAGGAGGCGAACAAGCGGGCAGGGGAGGAAAGGCAAGACAGAAATAAGCTGATGGTTCAATCCAAAGGTAAATCCGGTCCAGCTGGAGAGATCAGTATTGTTCTGTAACTGTTGGATCTTTCTTGATTTTTGCCGTCCTTGTCGGTCTTGTCTTCCCCTTCCCCTCCCTAAATCCTCAAAATGGGGCGGTTTCGGCTGTGAGCTCCCGCCGACTTTTGGTGGGGAGACAGTTCAACGCAAGGAGAATGAGCGAGAAGAAAACGGGGGGCCACGCGATGTTTGTTTCTGTTGCCGCTCCGCTACAGGTTAGGCCAGGAGACACACACAGGCACACAGATCCACCCCGCCCTCAGGTATCGAGCGGGAGGGGGATTCCAGGATCTAAGAGAGAAAGAGCAGGATCAGCCTCCACTCTCACCTGACAAACTGCAGACGTGTTTGCCTTTGGCAGGCAATGCGAGCCAGGATGCTGCAGCCGCCCGAAGAGGAACGAGTTCCTGGTGGAAGAAGAGCCTTCCGGGGGCCGCTGGGTTTAACCAAGCGGCGGCCTGCTCCAGAAAACTTAATGGCCCAGTGCGGGTCTTGCATCCTAATCCCCCGCCCCGCAGTCAGTCCTGTTGAGATCCAGGAAACTTCCAGGCAAAGCGGATCCCAGAAGGCAACCTTCGTTTTCGGTCCCGCTTTCTTGCGCTTTCCTCTTGCGACCCCTCAATCTGCAAGAGCAACGCCCAGAGGCGGTTGAGTCGATCCCCTGTTGTCGGTCGGAGCGATCTCTACTAATCGCCCCAGGAAAGGAGGGAGATTCATCTAAGCGGGGATGAGAGGCGGGAAGGGTTTGGTTTTTGGTTGTTGGTTTCCCTCCCTGGGTTCAGCATCAGAGGGATAAGCTCAAGTCGAACAGACCCAGTCCACGCACGTGCTCCAGACCGAAGGCAGCACGGCTCCACGCTGGCTGGCGGCTCGCCTCCCACTGACTGCCCCTTCTTCCCTCTGGTTAAGGCTGAGTTCACACCCACGCTGGTCCTTAACAATGAACCCTCTTCCAATCAAGGGGTGGACTTAGGGTTCAGGGGCTGGCAGCGGCACTGCCATCGACTCCCTCGGCCCCACTCCACCTCTGAGATCTGCTCGGAGCTTTCCTCTCAGAGCCGGTGTCAGCAGAGGTGAACTAGAGCGCTCCGATTTTGCAGAGCTGCCCCACTTCAAGGGCTCCTCCAGTCACTGGGGAGAAGTGCCTCTTCTGGGTTTTTGTCTGGGAAGGTCAAGTTCTGGGGCTCGCCTTCGGGTGTCTGACTCCCTTCCCTCTCGCTTGGAAAACTCCCCACCATGCTTAAACTGCTGCTTCTCTCTGCACGTACGCTCGAAATGTCCCTACTGAATCCGCGGAACTTACTTCCGAGAAGAAACCCACTGGGAAACCCGCGGCCTGGATCCTGACAGAGCAGGAAAATCCCGCAGCGTGATCTATCTCCTCTTTATCTGCCAGAGACGGGGAGAATAGTATATTTTATTTTAGCCTTTTTACGGGAGTGCTCTCCTCTCTTTCCCTCTACACACACCCCCACACACCCACACCCCTACCCAGGCACGCTTGCACAGCGTGTTGCTCCTGAGTCCAGCGAATTCCTGAGTAAATCACCCAGGAAAACTCATTCAGTACCCATACTGTACACTTTTAGGACTGAGCCTCCCTGAGTGTGATCTGCTCCCAGATGAGTGCATATAGGATACCGGGCTAACTAATGAAGAGCACCTTCCCCCCTCCCCTTCTCCCGCTCTCCCCCTTTTCTCCGAGGGCCTTTTTTTAATTAATCCCTGATACCCACAACAGTGGCAGTCTTGGCACTTTCACCAAGGGAGAACGGAGGAGGGAGAAAAGGAGAGGAAACAATTAATAAAAGCGCTTTTTAAAAGGAGATCAATTCCGGCGTGAATTTTAAAATAATTATCTGGAGGAACTAGGATTGATCGTTTGATCTCGGTGCAGCCGGCGGGTCTCCGGGCGTTTCGGAAGAGGCTCGCCTTCTCTCGGAGTACAAGGCGGGAGACTGCCGTAGCGAACCGGGTCGTGTCTTCAGGACCGCGCCAACCGAGCGACAGTAAATCAAGCAGCTTGGAAAGCATAAAGAAGGGAGCTGATGAGAGAGCGTTTCCCACGCAGACATTTCGGAGAAGTCGCCCGGTCTGCGTAGGGCCTATTATGTGGCCAGATATGGCTTTCTTCCTCATCCAGACCGCTTCACCCACCTGCTCTGTATAGTCTATTCACTTCCTGTGTGTCTCTTGGCGGAAACTCGGGGCAGGAGTAGTTGTGATTATCTCACTTTAGCCAGCAACAACTCTGTCGGGTAGGTCAGAGACAGAGAGATCGACCCGCTGGATTTGCTTGGATTCAAGAGGAAGGAATCAGTCACGCCCCAGGTTTCACACAGAAGCAGCACGGAGGCTGCTGCAGCCCTGTGTACCTGAGACAGGTCCCAGGGAATTCAGGTTTAGGCCGAGTAAAAGCGATCGCAGAGCAAGGCACCCCCGCCATGAAACAGCACCTCTGGGCAAGTATTCTGACGTAGGCTATCTGAGCCCTGGCAGCGGCTTAAAAGCCAGATGTGAACAGAAATGCAGATCGCCCTAGGACCTGGCGGCTGGTTCTTTGGGGATATCAGTGATTTCAGAAAGTAAAAGAACAGGTGGCCATCAAACAGAGGAGAAATCATTTGTTTGGCCCCAAATTTTATGCAGTCAACCTTGTGTTGTTTTCTGAGTATTTGTTTGCGGAGCAATTCCTAGAAATATTTTTTCCCTCCTATTTTCTTTCTAGCACGGCTGCTTTTCGTCTTCGCTCTATAATTTTTTGTTTTGTTTTGCCGTCTCTTCAAATACCACCAGAAGGAATCTGAAATCCCCAATCTGGTGTTCTTTCGATGGGTTGGACCACAACTTCCATCACCCCCATCCCACTTGTTGGCTCGGAGTTACGATCCAATGAAGCTGAACAGCACCAAATTGGGAAAGGCTGGACCTCAATGAGGCGTTAGCCATCTCACCAATAGGGGGGAGAGATTCTTCCTCGTGTCTTTCCCCACCCCCTCCTAAATCACGTTCCCGGCCGCTCGCATTCTTGCAAGGGCAGTTGCGATCTTTTCCCGACCCTATCAGATGTTACAATCCTGCACCCAAGGAATAAAGTCACGTGCTTATTCGCTGCCAGCCTTGGGTCCTGGCAAAGTATGCAGATATGAAATCATCACGCCTGGGTTTCTTTCCTTCTGTACCCCAGGCGTGCTTGAAAAGTTCAAACACCCTGACAATCTTCAGTCGAAGTCTATTTCAGACAAACTGGAGGATCATTTCCCGATTAAGTTCCAAATTAATTAATCCCCCATGTTAAATCTGATCAATTACATGACAAGGATAAACCCCATTGATGCTAACAGTAGTAGAGTGTATATTTTATATTCCTTGCTAAAACTCTACGTTGTTTGATTATTTTCCTAACCACCTAGATGGGTGCTATGTGTAGAAGCATTTATTTAGCATCATCAGAAACGGGGGAAGGGTAAGCATCAAAGAAATGTGCTTCGAGATTCATCCGAAAATGTCTGTTCAAACCTTCACAGCAATAATGCCTGTGCCCCCACCAACTGCCTTGCCCGCCCACCCGATTGGACAGGAAGCTTTAACCACGGATTCCGTGCAGACATGGGTGCTAGGAACGTGTGTGTCAAAATGGTTGTCTGCGTGTTCGACACAGGTCTGATTTTTGGTAGGTGGGAGTTGTTTAAACTCAATTCTTTTGGAGACTGGGAGCCTCTGCCTTGGACATTTTCGGAGCCTGGGAAGCAGAGGGATTCTGCCGCTCCCAGCTATTCAGGCAACCTCAAAGCCCGGGGCGCGGGGAGGGGTGTGTGTGTGCATCGCTGCTTTCATATAAGGGCCTTACTGAACTCTAGCCGGGAAGCAAAACCGCTGCCATATTTTTGCTCCTGACATTTTTACGAGCATCCCATGACAAACACAGGTTTGCCTATATGCAACACAAATGCGGATTCGTTCGGAGCAGTTGATGAATTATGCCATGGTAGAGGGGGAAAGAAGGGGGCACAAAAGAAAAGAGTAAGAAAAGCCCAAACATTTGCTTTTCAGGAAGAGCGATTTTGAAACTGAATTACGGCCTGTGACCTTGATCGCCGAGTACGATGAGTGGACGTTCTCCATTTCGTCTTGCCAAGTGGATGAAATCCCTGAACCCACCTTCGGGGGGGGGTGGATCTCTGCTTTGCCTAGGCCCCATCCCTCGGGGGGCTTTCCTACTCAAGGCCGGTTAAAAGGAATGGGAGTTCTGCAAGCGCTCTTTTCCCGGGATCTGTCCTTTGAGAACCATTAACTCATAGGGGCGCTGCGCGGGTAGACGCAGATGTGGAAGCAGATCAACTTAACGAGCTCGCAAACCAAGCAGTGCAGAGCTTGGGGGGGGGGGGAGGTTTTAAGTCAGTGGTTTTGTCTATTTCCCTCTGAAATCCGAATCAATGGGTTTTCTTTAAAGTAGTCACCAAATTCGCCCCCATTCCTTTGTTCTGATCACTTCCCACCTGATGGAGACCTTTAACAAGACTGCTTCGTGGCAACCTGTCTTGGTGACAACAGTCAAAACTCACACAGGGGCCCCACCAGATCTGGGACTGGTCGGAGAAACGCGATCAATTCCGCTCCATCTGCCTCATTCCCGTCATGAAGGCTTGAAACAATCTCTGTTTGCCTTCCTAACTCCTTAATCCGGATTTAAACATGGATCCTCCCTCCCACTATTTTTCTTAATTAAAAAACAACAACGGGGAGAGAACAACATATTAATTCCTACTATTTGAACGAATCCCTGACAGTTTGTGGAGAATACGGGCTCACACAGACGCAAGCACACGCGCGCCGTCCGCACAGAGGCGTCTCCTTCCTACAGCTGCAATGCTTCTCTGGCGGTTTTTCTGCCCCTAGATGGCAACCTCCTCCTTTGTGGGGTATCTCGGATGAGGAAGGACTTGACCTTGGCCCGGCACCTCGGATCTCTGGCCTCTTTCGGAGCTCGGCTTTTGGATCCCATGCCCCCCAAAGGCCTTCAGTCATTAGCCGCGGTGTTCCGGGTCAGAAATTTGGCAGCGGCCACAGGAGAAGGATCAACAGGCCTCTTGTAAGGGCACGAGTGGTGTGTGGTTCTATGTGTCTACCCAGGCACACCTCAGGCTAATCATCTCGTTTCCCCTTCTTGCCTGGGAGTGTCTTAGGAAAAGGAGCCAGTTCAGTCCGCATCCCCGGCCTCCCCGAGTCTTTGCCGAGAAAAGAAATGCTCCAGTTTGGAGACGTGGGAGGCAGATGCGCGGAGGAATTGGGCGCCCTTTCTTTGAACGTGGGAACTGTGTGCGCACCACCCCGGCCGAATGGGCAGACTCCAAGGAGCTCTCAGAGATGCTTCGCCTTTGCTTGGAAATTTTCCCCAGAGAGGGCTGCTATTT